GAGCATGCCGGTCGCCCCGGTGGTCTAGCTGGTATCCTCGAAACCTTCTGAGGACAGGTCAGGGGTTCGAATCCCGGCGTAAGCGAGCTTTTCTTACAAAGTCAGTTTTACTCTCGCTTCCGCTCCTGGCCTAGTGGATAGCGCTAGTTCGTGTGTAAACAGAGGGAAGAGAGTGCTGAACTCTTCTCGCATTAAAAACCGAAGGCAAAGTACCGCAGGAGGGGGGGGGTAGAGAGGGGCTCTTCTGTGTGATCACGGGTTGGAGTAAACGGCACTAGTGCTGTGAGCGCTGATTTGAAGTGAAGACAAAAAAAAAAAATGCCCTCAAAAACCTGAGCAACCGCAGGCACAGTACTCCATCCAACGTGTCGCGAGCTCTCCTCTCGCTCAGAGGAAAGTAAAATTCTGACGAGCACAACCACGGCCAGTACACGAGGAATGATGCACGTTCACCTACGGCCAATGCCTCACCTGTAGCAGTTGTCCAGTGCGTCCTGCAGGGGGCCTGCTCGCGAGACGGACAGTCTCAGCCTCTCCATCTGGTCCTGGGTCATCTCCAGCTGGGTCTCCGCGTGGAATTGCATGTACTGAAGGGCCTGCCACACCAGAGACGCGAGAGCGAGCACAACTCGCTGTCGTCGACAATCAATATTTCCACACAGATCCTTCCACAATGCAGGTACACGTGCAAAATTCGCCTCGGTACACACATCCGCAAAGTCTTTCCGTCTCGCAAAACGAGTCGTTAGGAACAACAGCAGCAGTGCGGACTCAACCCCCCCGACTACATTATCATTGCTTAACGACGATCTGCCTGTCCTGCCCCCCTACCTGGGGCTCCAGCGCGCTCAGCCCCTCGATGAGGGTCGCCACGAGCTCCGCGAGGTGCGGCATGAGCGCCTCCTTGTCGCACACCTTCACCAGCCGCTGCAGCGTGCGCATCGCCAGCGCCTGCGACGGCTTGCACCGGCTCAGGATCCCCTTCCTCAGCAGCCACGGCAGGGTCACCCCGACTGCGCCTGCCGCCGCCGCCCTCGCCGCCTCCGTCGGCGGCGGCGCGGAGGCGTTCCTACCCGCCCCCGCACGGCCGGGTCTCAGTATCTCGTCGACGGTAGGACCGTTCCGCCGCCCTCCCAGCACCCTGCCAACGCCCCCGGCGGCCCCTTCGCCGGCCCCTTGCTCCCTCTCGAGCACCTGCCGCAACACCTCATCGGCCGCTCCGTCCCGTCCTTCGGCGGTGCCTAACGCTCCTCCTCCTCCTCCTCCTCCGGAGGGGTCGTCCATCGTCCCTTCTTCCCCTCTCGCCCTCGCCTCCGCTTCGGAGGCGCGGAGGTCGTCAAGCATGGTCCCGATCGCCCGGCGTGCTTCGCCGGCCTCCTGGCGCACGGCGTCGGGGCCGTCGCCCCCGGCATCGTTGCGAGCGGCGGCGGCGGCGACGGCGGTGTCTCCCTCAGCGCCGCCGCCGCCTCTACTGCTGGGCACGAAGTTGTACGGGTCGCAAAGGCGCACCGAGATGTTGGCCACGGTCTTGGAGTACTCTACGGCGGCTTCTGCTACGGACTCCTTGATGTCGTCCAGGCCCCTGAAACGGAAGGGAGGAAGGCCAAGAGGGGCATCAGGCAGGGAGGGTGAGGTCAAGAAGGTCGCTGGGTGTAAGAGTGCTCGCAGTCACCCGTGGCCAGCATTTGACGACAACAACACGCAAGCGAGGCGAGGTTGGCCAACTGAAGCGAAGGTGGGAAGGAAGGCGCACCTGTACCTACGACTTGAACCATACCACCTTGCCGCCAACGCCTCACGGACACGGTCTACCGTAGGTTGCATGAGATACCACGCCCCCTGGAACGCCTTTCAAAGCTCGACTATTCTGTCAGCAAACACAGCATGAACGGTGCCGAAAAAAGGCGGCGCTGGAACCGGCTCGTCTTGGTGGAGTAATCGGGCTTCGAAAATAGGTCCAGCGCGAGTGAAATCCTATGCAACCTACGGCGGTGATTGTGGGCCGCCAAGCACGGGGGGTGTTTCCCAGGAAGTTCATCCTGGCCATGATATCGCCTATCTGACCACGTCGAAGAAAAAAGGTAGATTGGAAACTACTACTACGCACGCTAAGACCGCTCACAAAAAAAAATACACCTAACCTGTCCGCCATGGTCCAGAGCATCTCCAGGTGGGGACCGATCTCGTCCCAGCTGCGGCCCCGCAGCACATCCGAGAGACCGGCGCAGGCCGACTGGCGGTCCCTCCACTTGCGGTCGCCGAGCGCCCGGAGGAGCTCGGTAATGATCGCGGACAGGTTTGAGTGAATCACCTAAATCGGTTTGTGCCGTCATGAAGAAAGAGAGACGATCAATCGTGGGGGTCCATCCGACACGAGTGAACAAATACCAAAATCCGTTGTGCCGTTCATGGAGAAAACGAGAGAGAGAGACTCAATCGTGGGGATCTTCCAACACGAGTGGACGATAATACCTAAATCGGTTGGGCCGCTAATAACGGAAAAAGAGAGAGAGATTCGTTTGGGGGGGTCTTCCCCACATCAGCTTTGTGTGTTCTTGGGCTGGAAACCGAAAGCGTGGAACCACCCCTCGTGCGCTGGATCGTTTCAAAAGGTCGCAGAGGACGATGTTCGTCTTGCGTGTACGCGAGCGATGCCATGATGAGATCACCCGGTCGCTGAAACTAAACAAGCAAAAGAGGATGAGAAGAGAGCCCTCCTGGCCCCACCCGTCCAAGCACACAAGTGCACGCTAGACAACAACAACAAAAAATGTCCAACAACGACAACCAAAAATTGCTACGCGCCTCCTTCTCCCGTGTCGAGAAGTCCCCACCGCCGTCGCCACCGCCACCGCCACCGCCGACAACAGCGCGCCAGAGTTGATCCATAGCCGCGCGCGTCTTGGCGCTGGGGTCGAAACGGTACCGGAATAGGCGGGGCACGATGCGCCCCAGCTGGCCGCCGAACGCCTCTGCGGAGACCTGGTTGATGATGGCCCCAAGACCGAAGCTCGCACCTCTGTCGTCGGGGGGGGGGGGGCACGGTAATCAGTCGGGTCATGTCAAAACGCAGGGGGAAAAAAACGTTCCCCAAGGCGAAAAAGGACAAGGAAGGAAGCGGTGGGAAAAGGGTCTGTCCCTCGGGTAAATGGTTTTAGGGTTCTAGATGGACGGTTATTTGTGTGTGCTTCTAACGCATTGTGTGTTAGCGCGTCAATCGGCGTACATAGCTCGTCTACTAGGCAAGAAAATCAAGGAAGACCAATGCACCCACACACGACCGCGTAACAGCACCTTCTCGTCGTCCAAGCAGCGTGATGACTCGCCATCGAAAGGAAGGAGTAGATGAGGTCGGGCCTTCCCACATCGTTCGCGACCTGCCGACGATGGCAAGCGTCACGGGGATGACGTCATCACTCCGCCACAAGACACACAATTACAGGCCGAACAACCGACTAGCAAATATCGAGGCTAGCAGCAGTTGCAAAAAAAAAAAACGGGCATAACGCAAACAACAACCTCAGTCGTGGGAACCGATAAAACATCCAACCCAGCACTACTCTATGGTCATACGTGTGCCCAGCATACAAACCGAACTCGACAGACACGTTCCAAAAAAAAGCAGACCAAACCCTTTATTTTCAACCCAGACCACCGACAGCAGTGCCGAACGAATCCCACGCCTGACTTACAGCGCACATCTCGCCGTAGGCGCCCGCCCCGGCCTCGGAGAGCGCCGCCCCCGCGTGCGTCGGGCCGTGGACGTCGACGCTGCCGCCGCCGCCGGTGGCCGTGCCGGTCGTTGCGCCCGAGGCAGCCGCTCTTCGCCTCCCCGTGCTCAGGGCGTCCACCAGGGAGTCGACGAGCCCCTGCTTGGACTCGCTGCCGGCCGCCTGGTACACCAGGGCGAGGCCCTTGCCGGCGACCTCTTGCACGAACTCGGACCTGAGGAAAACACGCGGTACGTGCATGCATATGTAGTGGCGGCATGACGACACACGCGGACAGCAAATGAGAAAAGACGCCACAGGTGGAACAAGACCTGCAGGAAAGCGTAAGGTAGGTGGAGGGAGAGGAGAGGCAGGGGTTCACCGCCCACGGGGTAAGCAAGACGTACGTACGCATCTAAGGGGAGAAACGGAAATCTCTTAACTAGAGAGCAACATCTCGGTGAAAATCGCGGCGGCCTAGAAACTGTTGCGCGCTCCTCGACCGCTGTTATCCGTGCGAATCATCCATCTCCCGAAACTTTTAGGTACCCCTACGAATGCAAGAGCCTGCGCATCACGTCAACAGGCCTCCTTCCACACAGACGACGACAAACTGCTAAAAGATCAGGAGAAACCATCATCAAACACGTGACGGATCGCCCCCCGCCCACCTGACGGTAAGCTTCCGCGTGAAGGCCGCCTGCACGTCCGGGAGGTAGGCGGCAAGGACGGGGTGGCCCCTGCATTGCTGCACCACGGCGAGGAGGTACACCGCCGCGGCCCCGGAGACGTGCGGCGAGTGGTCTTCCAGCAGGACGTGCAGCACCTGGTCGCAGGGCCGCCGCCGGAATTCAGCGGAGAGACAATGTGTCACACGACGCAAAACACAAACAAAAAAAAAACTGTGCCACCGCTGCTGTTTCGTGTGTGCGACCTAAAGCAATCGTAACGGCGAGCCACCAGCCGCGATACTACTACTGTCGCAAGCGTCGCCATCTGAAACACGACTCCCCCCCACCTGATAGAGCACGTAGTCCAAGGCATTTATCAATGCGCCGCCGCCACCCTCGTCCCCCGCTGACTCTTCTTCCTTCATTTCGCGCCTCGCAGATACCGCGGACGCACGCATGTCCTCGAGAAGCTTACCAGGGGGGACGCGGAGGGGTCCTGAGCACGCCAGATCTGCCACCGCTGCGCCGACGGCAAACTGGAGCTCTTCTTGTTTCTGATTATTAGTGCGAGCCAACGTAGTGGGGTGGTAAAGGCAGGGGGGGGGGGGTTCTCATGTTTTGCATGCCTTAGCTGTAGACCATTGACCACCGGTAAGTCTAGCACGGGTTTCTGAACGCTAAAACAATACTTGTAATTCCGCGAGTCCCTTTTTCTGCGAAGCATCGACAAACAGTTGTGGCCTGTGCGCCTTTGGGTGCGTTCCCGAGAGCTTCTTCTCCCTCACACGGACCTGATTCTTGGCCATGTCGAACAGCACTCGGAGCGTCTTACGAACGCGAGCGGAAGACTCCTCCTTCTCGCCGCCGCCGCCGCTGGCAGCGTCGGCCCTGCCCGCGCCGTTCCCCCGGCAACACCTCCCCAATGCTTCGGCCGCCGCCTCCGTCCGCCTGCTCGCATCCGTCGTCTCTCCCAGCTTACACGCGGCCCACAGCCGCTCGAACACGGCTTGCACAGTAGTCGGGGTAGCGGCGGCGGCGGCGACGCTGCTGTCGTCGCCCCCCCCAACAATAGCAGGCGGCACCACTGCTGCTGCTGCGGCGGCGGAAGAGCGAACGGGCAGCGGTCCCGCCGCACCCACGCGGCCGATAGCCCCGCACGCCGCGACGTGCAGCAGAGAAACCGGGTGGCCGATCGCCGCCGCCACGGACGAAAGGGCGGCGGGGAGAGCGTCTCCGGACAGCGCTGCCCACGCAAGAACGCCGGGAGAAGGAGCCTTACCGCTGCCGCCGGGCTCGCCGGCGGAAGCAGCGGTGGCGGCGTTCGCAGCGGCGGCTAGCCTTGCGAGGACGGAGCCGAGGGCGCAGGCGGCTCCGTGGGCGCTGCTCACCGCCCTGTTGGTGAAGCCTGCCGCACCCGGCATCGTGCAGGGCTTTTTATGAGGTATCCGAGGAGGGAGCGCAGCGGTGTCGTCGTCGGCGCGTCAGACGGCAAACGGACGGGACGAACATCGCGACATTAGAAGGGGGGAGGGGAAACGTGCGCATGCCTCAGCCATGATCACAACGGAGTATCAGTGAGAGAGAGGGATACAAAACAGGAGATTACAGCAGTCGTCTCGATGATCCGTAACCCACCACCAATACTGACCTCAAAAGGTTGTTTCGGTGTCCCTGTTTCGACGGCAACATTGCTGTTAAAAAAATCACAAGGCAATATACATGTGTCGTTCCCCGGTACACCCGCTGTTACGACACCTCCTGAGCAAACCTACCTTCAGCTTGTGCCCGAGAGCTCTCAAGAGCGGCACAAGCTCCGAGTTCGGGTCCATGAACTCCGCCGCCGCTCCCGTCGTCTCAGCGAACGCCTCCCTGATCTCCGTAGAGCTCTCGTGCCCGAGCCACTGCTGCAGCCACGGGCCGCGAGAGGCCAGCCTGACGGCAACGCCTTTGATCGGCTCGGACCTGACCGCCTGCGCCACGGCGTGACTACCGTCCCGTTGGCCTGCATCTTGCTGCGGGAACATCGTGGTGCTGGGGTCGTTTGCACCGCCGTCGCCGGCGGCTAGCTTCTGCAAGGCCACCGCGGCCGACCGGTGCAGCAGAACCATCTGCGCGTGGCCGTGCTGCCCGTCCGTGGCGGAGGGGGCGCTCGCGAGAGTCGTTTCCACCAAAGCCAAGAACACCGCTACGGCCTCTTCTGTGCTGCCCTTGCCTCCTTCTCCTACCTCCGACGAAATATCTGCCGCTCCGTTGTTGTCGGCCTTGCCGCCGTGCGCCTTGTGGCACTCCAGCGCGAAGTCCAACGCGCGAGCGAGCGCCGCAGGAGGAAGCTCGCCGAGGCTTGCCGGTGCCGGCTCTCCCCCCCTCGCCAGCGACGAGGGCACCGCTTCGTCACGCAGCGCGCCCAGCACGAACGCCTCGAAAGTCGGGTGGGTCGAGGGACCGGTGCGAGGAGGAGCGGCGGCGTCGGCAGCCGCGACACCCTCAGCAGCGGCGGGGGCGTGGCTGGCGGACGCACGCGGCGGATGGAGGCCCCGCGTGGCCGCCGAGCGAACCGCCGTGACCTTGTCGTCGCACAGGGAGACGCAAAGACGGCGCGCCGCTACGTCCGAGAAGTCGAAGAGATCGCACGCCCACTCTATCGCGCAGAGACGGGCCCGGTGCTCGGGAGACGCTGCGGCCCCCCAAAGCAGAGACCACAGCTCGGACGCTAGATTGTCACCGCCAGCGGCGCGGTAAGCGCCCTGTTTGGAAGAGTACGCGGTGGCGAGGGGATGGTTTTGGACAGGAACGCGGGGGTCTGATCAGACCACGGCCTAGGAACAAAGGTCACTTGTCCGCGATGATGGCTGCAAGTAACGCGGGACTTTCTTAAAACTATTGTGCGCTAATTTCGTGGGAGGGAAAAGCATCAGGGCAACCAGCGGCAGTACAGCAGTCGCCCAGTTCGACCCAATCAGCCCGTACTTTGTTAGCTCAACAACCTAATCACGACAACACATTGAGCGTACGTATGCATCCATCCATGACAATACTGTAAGGACGACTACTTTTTGCTGTCTTCTAAGTTTTTCGGCACCTTCAGAGCGCCCAGCGCCGCGCTAATCTTCACCCGCAGCGACGGCTCCTTCGCCGAGAGCTCGAGAAAGAGGAGGCGCGGTACTGACGTGTCCCCGGCGAAAATCTCCGGCCTCCGAACCGCGAGCGACGCGATCGCTTCGTAGCACGCTTCCAGCATCGCTCCGTGCTGCACCTGCATCAGAAGCGTCGATCCGACCGGCGGCGGGGGCGCCTCGCCCGAGCCGCCACCGCCGCCAACCTCGGATGAGGACGACGGAGCCGCGTTCATCACCAGCACCCGCTGCACGGCCTGCAGCAGGAGGGGGCCGACCATGGGCAGCATTGCGGCGTTGCATCTGGCAGCGACGAACGCAGCCAACCGAGCCCCGGCGGCCCGGAGCCGAGCGGCGTTGGCGCGGTCGTGGTGACGCGCGCCGGGCGCGCGGTCCGCGCCGGCCGCGGGCCCGTCTGCGGTGAAGAGCGCGAGGAACGACACTCTCACCGCCTCCGGCACCCTGGCCGCCGTGCCCCCTGGGCACTCCGCCTCCAGCCACGCCAGGGCACGGACCGCGAGTGCCGAGGAAGCAGGAGAGCGGGAAGAGGAAAGGGTGCCCGCCGCGGCGGTGGCGGTGGTTGCGGCGGTGCTACCGCCGGCGGTACCAGCAGCTCCGCCCAGCACCAAGTTCAAGAGGCCTAGCGCAACGGCCGGATCCCGCTGGAGCGCCCCGTGTCTGTCCGACGAAGAGAGGCTCTTGAGCAGGTCTTCGGAGGCCTTGAGAACCTCGTGGTGGGTGCTGCAGCCAGCGGCAGCCACCGCCGGCGCCACGGTCGCGGCGGGGGAGAAGAGGTCGGACTTGAGACCCCGCACAACGGCGAGCTTGCGCCGCGTGAGAAGGTCCGCCGGCCACTCCTTCTCCTTCGAGGTTAGGCGGGCGAGCCCGGCCGGCGAGAGGCCGTCGTAGCGGCTCCCCTCGAGCCGGAGAACGCCCGGGTACAAGCAGACGTCGAGAAACCACTCGCTCACCACGGCGGAGTCCTCTCGCGCGAGCTCCGCCACCTCCGTCGCCGCTGTATCTCTCACCGCCGCTTCTTCTTCTTGAGTCTCCCCCGGCAAGCGCAGCGGTAGGTGCTCGACAACAACGAGGAGCAGGTTCAGGAGTATGTTGGAAGCCGGAGAGTATTGCTCGAGCCTTGATATCCCGGACGCGATCTGAAGCCCGATCTTTCCCTGAGCCGTCGGGGTGAGCCTGGGGACACCCATCTCCAGGAAGCTCAGGCTGAAGTTAAAGGCGAAGCTGTTCAACGGCACCTCCTTGCACACCGCGAGCAAGCCGGAGCAGGGCAACTCGATCGAGGCGTTCGGCCGCACCCTCTTGGAGACATGGCTGAGGACGTCTATCACCTTCGCTCGGACGCGTGGAGAGCTGCCGTTCAGCTTCCGCACAAGCTTCGGCAGCAGAATGTCCAGTACCGGCGAAAGCTTCGAGTCGTCTGCTATGACCAGGCGGTGGAGCACTCGATCGAGCTGCTCCACGTCTGCGGCTTCAGCGGGCTCCATCTTCCCAGTCTTGCGGAGGAAGAGAAGAGCTGGTAGAAGCCAACGTAAGTTGGTGAGAGCACAGGTAGCAGCCTCTGTGGAAGACTTCAACTGCCGACCTCTCGAGAAATGGCGCACTGCACTGCACATGGATAGTGCGGCGCAATTAAGAGGCACCGTCGATCATTCGGGGATAGTTTGTACCAACCCCCCCGCCCTTCCAGGTTCTTCTTCTCCCTCTGCTGGTCTCCCTGCCCTGGCCTCGTTCCCGTTGCTCGCTCCTCCAACACAGGACAAGGAAACACCACACGCTCTAACAAGCGTCAAATAGGGTGGCGTGGCACCCCGACGAGCTAGATATTTATTATCTTCTGCAGGAGTACCTGGACCTCGCGGTGCAGGATCCGGTGAGATTTGTCGAATTGCGGCTTGTGTGAGAGGCAGTTCGCATGGCGTCGACGCCCTCTTTGTCTCTGTCTTTGCAGGAAAACGTGGTTCCTCTTTGCGCCGCCTTTTGTTGTGTGCCTATCCTGAGGGAGGCGTCCCGCAGGAGACTAGCGACGGCTGTGTGCAACTCGCTTTGTGTGCATTCACGATGGCCGCCGACCTACAGCTTGTGGGGGTGGAAAATGCAGAAATCAACCCATTTTTTTTCACCGCTCGAGTCCCGAGGAAATATCTCGAACTGGTAGTCTTTCTGTGTGTGTATTTATTTTTTCCTTAAAATGAAATAACATGGCGTTGGCTCCACAGCAAGCAGTTGGAATTGAACCGCTTTCTGTCTCTCCAAAGCACGGGCAGTTCACGCTGGCACTATCTGTCCCTGCGGACTGCTGTATTCTGACACGAGAAGAGTTTTGTGATTTTTTTGTGCAATCACGTTGGAGCAAACCAATACCGTTATAGTTACAGCGGTGACTACATGCCTTTAGGAGACCGCGCCAGAGAGGTCGGCGCGTGTACCACCAGTCCCGAATTCCTTCTTTTTTTTCAGAATTCTTGTTGTTTCTCAAATTGCTACAAGAGCTACAGACAGCAGTGCTGCCTTTAGTACCGTCCGTTGCTGGCGTTTCGGTGTCACATGCATACGAGATATGCATACCCCCTCCCCGTGGCCATACACTCGCAGAGATAAATATCGAAGCGTAACTGCTTGCAGCACATGTACACCGCGCCCACCGAAAGGCTGCTTGGCAGTAAGACTCGGGTGTTGTCTGAACACCTCACAACCCCAGCAACTCACGGCAGTTGGTTGTTGTTGTCTTGACATCAAAACCGCCGGTCTCCGCTCAGTACAACCTTTAATGTCTCTACTACTGGTCCAGCTGACGCGGACACCTTACGTGGTCACAAGCCAACTACCCCCAAGAAGGGATACAAATACACCTTGTATGGTAGCAGCGCGTTGTCCAATCCCCGGTCCCCTCTCGGTATGAATCAGTCGTCGTTCAGTAGACCCCTTCAAGCTATAGATTATCGTGTGATGTTTGACTCATAGCCACGAGTTTCGCTGTGGAACGGACGAAGTGGTGTAGGCCGATACCATGCATATTCCTGGATGATGGAATCAATCGACAGACGCAATATTCTTTAGGGTAATTATTACCATATGTTTGAAGAAAATGGGTTGTTGAGCAAGGCTCCATGTATAAAAGTTTATGAAACGGCCGTTTTGTTGAGGGTGTACACATCCGGGGGTAGGCTGTGCGGGAGACGACACCCTCTCTTCACGAGACGGGGCTGGCAAATGAGTGATGGCACAACAACAGGTATTTGTAGTTGCCGTTCGTCACTCCCGCCGCCGCCGCCGCTGCTCTTCTACACCTGTGCGTTTGTGTCAATACAGCCCTGTTAACCTGACGACCCTCGTCCCACTTCTTTCCTCTCTCCCCGTCGTGGAAACGGTTTTTAGACGAAGACGTACAGCAGCAACTACCCTGTCGGAGGCCGTGGTTTCATTGCCATGTCGAACGGTACCGCGTACCCAGACGTGCTGTCGAACGTCGACATGCCCGGAAGGAGCGCCCCCGCCGCCGCTGCCGGCTCTCGGCTCAACATTACCGTGTGCGACCCCGTGAAGCAGGACCAGGGGATAAACGCCTACATCACGTACAAGGTAGGCGTGGTAAAGCTGCTGCTGTGTTGGTTTTGTTATTGGTAACGGGCGGTCGGGGTGTCCTGTTGAGGTTATCATCACAACTGTGTTTCCGGTGATTGTAGTTGTATCTGGTGTTTAGCACCTCTTCTTGGCTCGCGACGATTTGCGCTGATTGATTCTTTCCACGCGGCCCATTGTGCACATCTACAGCAACAGCAGCGGTTCGCACGATGGTGTGCATCTATACCCCAAAACATTCAACGTGGTGTTTAGTACAAAAAGGAATAGCAACTTGTAAACTTCTCAGAATCCGGAATCCTCACTCTGTATTCCCGTTGCGCACAAGACTACTGGGAACGTATTTCATTCGTCAGTCGGTTGGTGCATAAGTAGTTACCGAAAATCCACGCGCCGCGCACCAACACGCAGGTCCACACGAGCACCGACCGCCCGGACTTCCAGTACGGGCAGTTCACGGTGATCCGGCGGTTCAAGGACTTCGTCTGGCTCAGCCACCGCCTGGAGGAAGAGTTCCCCGGCATGGTAATGCCCGCCCTGCCGGTAAAGATGGTGGTGGGGAAGTTCGACCAGACCTTCGTCGAGGTAAGACACGCCTCGCCTCCGTACGCAGAGACAAAAAACGTCCGTGTCCATGCACTCAAGAGACATGTTTTTTGGTAGATACCGCTTGTGTCGAAAGCACTATTAGCAGCTGCGGTAAACTCCGCAGGAGCAGCAGAGACAGGCCATCCGTCCATGCACCCAGAGACATATTTTTTGGTACCACTTGTGTCGAAAACACTACCAGTGGCCGCAGTAAATTCCGCAGGACCAGAACCAGCAGGTTTGCGAAGAGTAGGAGCAGTCCCAGACACGAGCACCATGCGGCTGGCGTTGGTGGCAGCGGCAAGCGGCCAAGGCGGCAGCAGTAGCAGCATCAGAAGGAGAAGGAGGAACAAGAAGAAAGCTACTGCAGAGTCTCACTAGGCGCGAGGCTGGTGGGATTTGATTTGGCGTATGTCTCGGCAGCGAGGTGGTAAGGGCAACAGATTTGAACCGTCCCGAAACCCGGCGGCGTGGCCCCAACCTCCCTGCCCCCCCGCGCTGTCATTTCCCCGTACGCGTCGTGGAGCAGAAGCGGCGGAAGGAGCTGGAGATCTTCCTCAACAGAGTGGCCGCCCACGGGGAGCTTTCAGCCTCTCAGTACTTCAAGACCTTCTTGCAGGTTGGCCGGTCGTCCGGTCGGTCTATTCGTCGCTCTCTTCGTCTTGGTCGTTCCCCTTGGCCCGACTTGTCTGTTTTTCTTTTTTTGGTTCATCGTTGGCTTAGAACGTCTAACACAAGTTATGCTTCGGCCGCACTCCGGTGCCTGCATTCCCAGTACTCGTCAGTAGAGGAGCACGTGTCGGTGAAGAGATTGGTGCTGTTGGCCTGGTATTCTATCGGTTGTGGCTGATTTTGTTTGCATAGCAAGAGAAGGGTTGTGCCCCCGACATTTTTTAGCTCACCACCAAATCAACTCACCGGTGTAAATGGGCGAATACGCGGCGTGTTGCGCGCTTGTGAGAGCCAGATTGGAGCATGTTTTCCGAAGCAGACGGATCGTCCATGTGCAGCCAGGCGTATGGAAACGGGCACACTCTTACGTAAAGCGTGCTACATTATGCGCACTACCCTGGCATCTTTCGTGTGCAACCAGGTGTATGGAAACGAACGCGCTCTAGCGTGCTACACATGCTCACTACGTGGAGTACTGCTGTGTTGCGGTTGTGTTATCATGTTGTGTTCTCATGTCCTGGTGTGATCGATCCGTTCTTCGTGTGCCTCGTGCCTTAACCATGCACCCATGCCGTCCCCTCCCCAGGCGGATGACGCCGGCCTTGCGGACACCAAGGACAAGGAGAAGGCGGAGCGGGTGCCCGTGGGGCCCCACCACGTGCTCCGCTGGTTCGGGGAGGTGGCGACGCATGTCAAGACCCAGGTGGACAAGGTGGGGTTGGTGAACAGCCTTGCCCCGTGCGGGCTGGTGGTGAGATGTTCGCACTATTGTTCAACAAGCGTGTTTTTGTTTCAGAAGTCGTAGCTTAACGCGCCGTTGTCGGCATGTTGTTGCTGTTTTATTGTTTTATTTGCTGTTGTTTTCACCTGCGTTTTCTTCTACTACGCCATGGCCTCCTTATATGTGTCTCGTTCCAGAATTATTTTACGGTCCTTCCGGTCCCGTTGTTGGATATCTTCCGCCCCCTCGCCCCCCTGGTGCCCGAGAAGATGGTGCATGCCCCATTGTCTCTCGAGCATCACCTTCCTTAGAACCTCTCCTCGTTCCGCACAATGCAGGCGTCGCGTGCATGCGTCGCCTCTGGAATTTGGTGGCTGCATGCACTGTACAAGGAAAACTTGTTTCTTCGCCTGATACATAAAACCACCAACACCGACTGACGTCATGTCATTTGGTCGGCCGGTAAGCGCCGTCGATGCTAATGATAGAAACACACACACACACACACATACGCTGCACTCGTACAACACAGGCGAAGAAGGAGGAGATCTCTGCCAAGACGCCTGCGGACATCAAGTTCGAGGAGATGCAACAGTACGCCAACAACCTGGACGTTCAGGTTATAACTAAATAGGGCTATCCCCTACACATTGTTTTGTGATTGCAGAAAATGGTTCTTAATCTTGTTTTGTCGGTTGTGAAAAGTGCTTTTCTTCCCATGCTCGTGGGACACATACCTGTACCACCCCAAGAGGTGTCTGTCGAAAATTCGTTGGTGGCTTAACTGCTCCCGTCTTTCGCCCTGGACTGGAGCGTGCACATGTCTCTCATGTCTTTCTTTTCCTTGTTCTGCCTTCAATGCGTGTGCTGCTCTCCCTCCTCGTTGTCACGCCCGCCCGCCCATATGTTTCTGTGTGTTCTTCTTGTTGTTGGTGGTGGGGGGTATCAGATGCAAAACGTAGCAAGGCACACAACGGCGCTGGTGAAGAAGCAGGAGCAGCTTGGCTCGACAATGTTCGAGTTCGGCGTGGCCTTCACCCTGCTGGCAAATGTAAGATCACCCTCGCCGCAACACCATCCGTGAGGGGTACGTAGACGGAGAGATGCAGATGGTAGGGGGAGGAAAGAAGCAAGAGGGGGGTGCGGAAGAGAGAGGGGGGATGCGTTGCCTGCATCTACGTACTACTCTGCCTGAGCTACGTTTCCTTTAGTTGTCTGAGTTCTGACTGTTATGGTCCTTGATCATGCCATGCCCTGGTGACAGAAAATAGTACGCATCGTGGTGTATGTATTCACTAAGCGGTCGGAGGTGGCCATAATCGCGTAGCGGTGGTTGAAGCGCGTTTTTCGTACCGTTTTTTTGTATCTTGTACGGAGCCCGACGAAACGCTTGGAATCTGCTGACCTGTGAACATAACGGAGTCCTGGGGCAACTACTCATAAATGAACGGGGTCTGAATTGGTCACCCCCCCCCCCCCCCGCCCTTCGACGTATCCCCCTTCCCTCTTTCCATTCCCCTTTTATCGAGTTCACAAACCCCATACACCTCATTCTCTTGTTTTTTTGTTTTTTTTGTCGAACAAACGGATGTGGATGCGGCTACTGCTGCTGCTGACCGTCGGTACGGCTGGTGAACGTGTTCGATCGACCAGGCAGAAGAGGACAAGGCGCCCCTTGGGCAGGCGCTGCTGCAGCTCGCACACGCTGCGGACGAGGTGCGCTTCTTGTATGCTACCGACACAGCAACCCAAAATGCACCGCCCGACAGACCGCACACACAGGAGTCCGGCAGGCCAAGATGCTCATTCGTGTGCTTGAAGTTAACTCTTGGTGGTGTTGTTGGAGTGTGTCTCTTGCTGCCATGTTGCCACGAGCCGGGGTGTGCTGCCTGTCGCCTGCGGTTGTTTTTTCCAACTGTTGCTGTCGTATGGGTATGCGTTTCGGCTATTTTCGCTTTTTGATTTTTGCGACAGCAATCCACAAAGTTGGTCGTGCATCTTTGTAAGGTGGCTTTTCATGAGACTCAGAAGCTGACGGCTTCAAACAGAGCACAAAATGACGCGCCCATTCCATGTTCCGTGGCACGACGCGTGTGCCGTAGTGGTACACTTTCACCGCGTGTGCCTGCCCCGTGGGCGTAGTTGCCGGGTCTTACCTCTTTCAGGTCTTGCTGGGAGTGCTCCCAGACAGACGATATTCCTAAATTTCGTTGATGACGGTTTCTTGTGTTTTCTTTGTCCCCCTTCCCCCCCCCCGCCCCCCCCCGACTCGCACGCCACGCACGCGTCCGCATGCGCAGGTGTCCGTCCAGGTGAAGAAGCAGGCGCAGCAGGAGGCGGAGCACTTCGAGGGCCCCGTGCTGGAGTACGGGCGTATGACGACGGCACTCAAGACGGCTCTGCACAAGCGCAACGAGAAGAAGATCACCTACATGACGGCGGCTCACGACCTCGAGGCGAAGAAGGCGCACCACAGCAAGGTGGCGGGGTTGGGGGGGGACCGCCAGGTGAGACAGAGAGGGGGGGGGGGGGGAGTTGGAGGCCGCGTGGGGGTGTTTTTTTAGAAAATATGCGTACAACCACAGACAGACTCATCCCGTTGGAGATGTGTTGAAGCCTTCGTCCACACGGAGTGTCTCTTGTGTGGGGAAGAGGAGTCTCGGTGGTTGCCGCCGGACGAGAGGGGATCTACCTCGCCGAAGAGGTCGTGGCGGAAAGGGCGGCGTCGCTTCTGAAGTGTCGCTGTCATGGCTCAGAGATGTGGACCCTGCTGTAGCTGAAGCTTTCTTCTCTCGGGAGCCTTTTTAGAAAGTACACATAATCCCACAGAAAGACCACCCGGGAGCCTTTGTGACACCAAACAGCTTAGCTCCTCGCTTCCCTTGCTGTAAGAGAAAGCAAACAGCGCTTCTTGTAAACCAATCCTAGTACACCGCGGAATAGTCTTTGGCGAGATCTTCCAACGCTTCCATCCACCATGGCTGCTCCACAACTTTCCCGGCTGTTTTTGCAATTTTTGTGCATAAATAGGTCCTTCTCTTTGCTCTCCCCTCTCTCCCACTACCAAACCTGGCCACGGGGGTCTCTTTGCCGACAAATGTGATGGCACGCCTCTGCCTCTGCGTGCCCGCTTCGCTATAAAGAACACACACACACGCCGCCGCCGTTTGTATCGCAGGACCGAGTGGCAGCGGCGGAGGACGCGGTGGCCACGTCAACAACGGCCCTCGATAAGGCCCGCAGGCAGTACGAGGAGGTGTCCGATCGGGTCGTTCGGGAGTTCGCGCGGTTCCGGCGAGACAAGGCGGCGGACATGAAGAAGATCATCCTCGACTACGTTAACGTGCAGGTGAGAAAAGAAGGAATCCCCGAATCAAGTTTTTGTTGTTGTTGTTGTTGCTGCTGTTTGTTTTACGTGATTTGTCGTGACGTGTATCATATGATGTATCATGTCATGGGCCGGCTGATTCTCCAGCAACGATGAGGCTCGTGGTATATTTTACGTCAACCATTGGATACGACAAGATGACAAGCGTCCCGCGACACTGGATTTGATTTCGTTTTTTTCTCTTTTGCCAGCAACGAGGACCACAAATTAATCAACGCTTTTTTTATAGGAGAGACCAGGCGCCGAACAAACTGCCACCAACCATGGTGACTCACGCCCCCCCCCCCCCCCCTCCCCTTCCGATGCATCATGTCTGACGGGTCGCCATGTGCGTGGCGTTATTTGCCTGACTGACTGAGGCAGGTGGAAGCGACGAAGAAGCAGGAAGAGGCATGGCAAGCTCTCATTCCGCACATCGAGGCCATGGAGCTGGAGGGCAGCGGCGAGGGCGATGGCACCGGAATGGGAGGGCCCGACGGCATGATCGGGATGTAAAAGTGTGAATGAAATAAGCAAGGTGCATGGAAAACGTCGACCACAATCAGCAGAAGGAAGACGAGGTTTGATCAATTTATGCACGGGTTGGTTGAGGGGACCTTTTCGTTCTCGCTGCATGGGGGTGTGTGGCCAAAAAAGTGGGTGGAAAAGGCTTTCTCGCCTTTAGGGGATGGGTGGAAGGAAAGCGTTTTTCAAGGGAGAGGTGCGCACGGGAGTGTGATGCTCGATACCAGGACGGCGGCGCAAAGAGGTTGGGCAAGGTGGAGGTGGGATATATTGTCCGTGGCCAAACACAGCCTTCACATGACCTGGTGCTGTCATTTTTGTAGGCTACAGCAGTATTGCGGCGATGTTTTTGTTACGATTCGGCCCGGATGTGGTCTGGCCGATCAGGTGGGCCGCTTGTGGGATGGTGTAAATTGTGGTGGCCACTGAGCAAACTCTGCCTGCTTTCAGCTAGACCCGGTGTTTCTCCGATTCTGCGTAGGTTAAGACGTTATACTACGTACAGGTCGCGTTTGATTTTGGAAAAGAGGCGTTTTCGTTTAAATCTGGAAAGAGGCGTTTTTTACATGTGTATTTGGGGCTTGTCAGTGTCTTCACTCTCGCATGTCTGCTAGTTTTTTTTGTTGTTGTCAAGTGGTGAAAAAAGCACGCTACGCGCTGTAGTTGTTCGCGTGTGATAGTTTGCCATGCCCCGATTGTTGTTGTCTATTGGTGGTAGCACGCCGTTTTGGGCTGTAGAACATTGTAGGTCGTATATTAGTGTCTGAGGCACTCATACCCTGCTCCACATTTTCTGTCGGGAGAAGGGACTGGGCTGGCCTAAAGTGCTGTGCGTTCGAGCACGGTGATGAGTTGGGTGTGGTGGCGAAGAAGAGAAAAAGGGACGGGGGCTTTTGACAAGCGAACGAAAAACCCATGCCCGTTGCGTGCGAAAAGCGTTCAGCCACGTAGGAACAATTTTGAAAGTATTAATTCGGGAATGATGGATTGGTCCGCTTTTTATGCGAACGGCAGGCTCGCCGCGCCAGGGTACGGCGTGCGTAGTGTTTGGGAAACTCCTTGTGGCACCTGGGTTTGGTGTGGTGTTTGAGACAACTGACAACAGGGGGTGTCACCATCACCCTTCTGTGTCGTGCCATGAGGTCTGCAGCAGTTGCGACCAGGTTATCATGTTCTCCGGTTCTAGCTTCCAGCTGTATTACCTCGGCGGTGTTTTCCCTTCAATCGGGGTGATTGTTTTGCGCGTCCCCACCCCCCCCAAACGTCCATCTCAGACTTGTTGTACGTGTGCATGCCATGTGTATACCCTTTGGTCGTGCCGTTTTTTCGTTTCGATCTGTCCCCAAGGGCGGCGGGGAGGTTGCTGTGGACATGTAGCCTTCAGCTTCGTGGTAAACTACGGAGTGGAGATGTTTTTTCTCCTCGAACAGGCCTGTGTTTTGTCGCGCCTCTTTCAGCGCCTCTCGTATTTTCTGCTTGCGCGCGGGACGTGATGTTTCGCCGCCTCCTCCTCGTTTTATAATCACACCTAAAGTGTGCATTTTTCGGAGAACGATTTGTGTGCAAGCTGTTATTTTTCGGCACAAACGACCCTGAGCCACCGATCATGCTTTCACAGTTGATCGGGCTTTAGGCGCCAGATCGGCGCAACGCACACGTGTGTGTGTCTCTCTCTCACATACCACAGCGATGAGACCTTGGTGTGTAACTGTAGGTCAGCTCTTCGAGAAAAGGCGTGGGATTAAAGTCTGTGCCACGCAAGGTGAAGATGACAACCACACACATCTACAGTTCGATGTCGCCGAAAACTTGCCGTCGGGATTTGATTTTGTGTCATCTTGCCGAGATGTTCCAGCGGGGACAACCTGCTTTTTTGGAGAGAGGTCGATCTGAGCACCCATTTTCCGCACCTACCTATTGCATTGGTTCACCTCGTCGTGCCCTCAAGGTTTTGCGTGCGTAGGGGTCCCTCCCCGCTTCCTTTTCTCAAGCATGAAGCACAACGCAAAAAGCAACACGCACCTTGTGGGAATAGCAATGCCGACGATGTTCCTTCGTCTCGTCGGCTTTGTGCTAAAACATTCGAAGTCGGGAGTGTAGTACCGAGTCTCCCCACGGAGATTGATTGATGTTTTTTTCACCAACAAATTGTTGAGACGTGGTTAGTAGAAATCCACACCGCACAAGCTTCTTACACAATTATACGCAACCATTACTCACGGACGCAAATGAATGGAAGCACAGATCTTCTCCAGATACCACGTACGTACATGTCTTTTTTCTCTCCTCCAATCTATACTCTCTTCCACTACCTACCGTTCGTTCGTCAACCTTTTCACGAAGAGTGCTGGACACGTTGAACAGTATTGTCACCCCCTCGTGCCAACAAACTCAACGCAAGAAGTAATGCTACTTGACAAGTACACGGCCTACCACTCACTCTAATATCACGACTTTTTCGGGCAACATACAGTTCGAACTAGACAGGATATGGCACGTGGAACCCGAAGTACAACAAAACAAAACCTTGGTGGAAACCTTAAAAAGTGCTAAATAAATTGGTCTAAATACCAACATTTCATATCGAAAAGCACCTTAACAAGACGAAGTTGATGGAACTATCGGAGCAGTGTCGAAGCATGGTGTCACCACCGTGTGTGCCATCACGGACACATCAAGTCTACATGACGTGTTTCCCCCCAACGCAGTGAAATATCATTTTCATTTAATCAATCTCCGAACTTACTTCCACGCGAGAGAAGGGGGGGCGGGGGGACTCATAGTTGTGCGTGCCGTAGTCGTTAGACCGTTGACCTCGCCGGGACGGGACGGGGGGGGGAGGACGTGTTAGCCTGTACCGGTCAGGGTGTCTCCCCAACACCCGCAATCAACAGTGCACCATCCCTACACCTTCACGGAATAGATATCAACGTCTACACCTACCAACAAGGGGGCTATGCATACTACCCTCGCCTAAAACCGGGTCTTGCGACCGGCAATCGCGCCGCTTCCTCGCAGGCTCGAGCCTCTCGGGTTAGTCCGGCTGGTCGGGCTGCGGTAGGGCACGAACGCCACCCCCGGGGAGACGGGGACCTTGGAGGGGGCGTGCTTCTTCTGGCGGCCCTTGCACGGGGGGGCCTCCTGCCGAGAAGGGCTCGGGGAGCGGGGGGTCGAGGCAGAGGGCGGTGTCGAAACCGGTGTTGTCGCCGTCGTTGTTGCCTCCTTGGTCCCGCTCTCGCTCTGGCCCCACCTAGAGAGTGAAGACGGCCTCACCGTGATGTTCTCGCTCCCAGTGAAGGTGTGGGCGGAAGACGCCGAGAAGAACGACGACAGAGACGATGACAACGGCGACGTGGACGTCGAGGGGGTGTCTGTGGCGTCGTCCGAGAAGGAAGCGGTGCCTCCCTCGTGGCGGGGAGAACACGCCGAGGGACGGAACGACTTGTTCGTCCGGTCTCGTCTTGACGGGGAAGAGGGGGAGTACGGGGAGGCTAGCTGGCCCTGCTTCTTCTTTTGCTGCTGCTGCTGCTGCTGCTGCTTGTTGGAGATGACCTCGCCCTTGAGGATGCACTTGGCTGTGAACCTCGCTGTCCTGGTCTGGAGAGCCTCGTTTGTCTCGACCTCTGGCCAGAAGCTCGCCGTGCTTGTCTGGAAGGGTGAGGGGGACAAGGGGAGGGAGATCCGGGAGTTGAAGCATCAGAAATCGTCGTTGTACTGACAAGGGCGTGAGGGGATGAGTGGGCATGGGCCACGGGTATCATGTGGTCCGGAGGCAACGCATCACGCCCAACGTGTCGGCGAAGGCCTGATATGTCGCAAGTCACACTGCAAACCAAGTGTGTTGGCCCCCCGCCTCTCCTACGATATTATTCTACACTGTGATTCTTGTGTTCACCCTGTACACTATCTACACACTACAACACCCGACAGCCACAATAATACCGCAATCTGCGGGGATCCAATACCAGGGGGGGGAGTTCAAGACTAGCGGGGACGATGATATTGCACAAAAGATTCCGTATTGGGTCAGTATCGCAGATTCTTTCGTCCACATCTGGGCGTCTCAACCAGATGTTATTTGGTTTGTTGAAGTCGTCTGGAATCTATGCGTCGCGTGCCCCTTTGCAGCCTGAGACGAGAAACATTCCATCACGCCTCAACCACACTAGCGCGATGGCGTTCTGTGTTGCTGAACGTGACTGGACGAAACTGATCGCGGAAACTCTGGGAGATTGAGAATCACCCCAGAGAATCTCGGGCAACAACTATTGACAAACGATGGAGGATCAATTTACTTCGAATGACCCCGTGGGGGAGGTCAAATAATCTCATCTTGTCCCTACTTTTTCGGCCGATGTCCGTTTTCGGGGGGAGAGGGGGCGGCGTGCGCATGCTTTGCACCTTTTTTAGCAGTTAGACGATTGACAAAATGTCCTCGAGAGGACGGGGAATTGTTCTACAGGACCGATGGGGGGGGGGGAGGGAGGGGGGGCGTGATCGAAGAAAAGTAGAGGACTCGCAACACCAACTTCTTGTGTACCGGGAGCAAACCAACAAGGGAGGAGCCTTCCCTACACGACGAGTCTCAACAAGGGGCATGTACATAGCATGCTTCGCTCAATCTCCACAATCTTCAGCTGCGTTGAGTCCACACTCACAGAGTTCTTGATATTGCGGAGGAGTGCGTGGGAGTGGGCGAGGTGGAGCCCGAAGAGGTCCATGGCCTCCTTCTGGTCCGTGAGAGAGACCCACTCGTTCGAGTTGCTGACGGGGCGCGAACGGAGATACATGGATGGCATCAGGACGCGGGTGCTTGCACTTGGTACCAAACCATTGTTCGTTGAGACTGGGTGATTGAGGTTGAAACGAATGGTCGAATTCATTGTTGAGATGGGAGAGGAAGCACAATATGTAGCATCTCATGGTATCCCTCACCACATCAGCAACGGAGTCGGTAAATACATGGCAAGAATCGTGGCGAAATCAATCATGATTGCCACGATTCTTTCAATGGCACAGAACGGAAAATACGTGCACTTGACTGACCCTTCAACGCACTCCTCACATCACACGTACGTACGTACGCCCCCGTGTTGGAAGTATGATACAACATATTACATCCCATTCTACAAGCGCCGGTCGACCAAGCCAACACGTGAACACACACAACTCACCGGATTACACTCTTGATGTTCGCCCACATGGAAAACAGGGAGGACAAAAGCTCTGTCAGGCGCTGTACCTCGGTCGGGCAGCGCTTGCTGCTGCTGCCCAATCTGGCCTTCATCGCCGCACATTTGCCGGACATGTCCAGCAAGCCGGCCGCCGGCATGTCGCACGCATCGCCGGTCTCAATGGCCGTCCGCAGACGGCCAACGATGTTGGCTGCAATGCTCCTTCCGGCCTTGCTGATTCGCAGGTGGGAGGTGGTCGATGGTGGCGGTGGGGGAAAGGCGCACACCGGGGTTGTCCGCTTGGAGACCATCGTGTTGACCTTGTCGTTCAGGGGGGGGGGAGGGCGGAGTCGTTGTGAAGAGCGTCACGAGACACGATAAATCATTAGAAGACACAAAACACGAAACGATATAGTGCACAGAAAGAATGTGTTCTTTGCACCCAGGCTACGTTGCGCATTTGGTGCTTTATTGGGGCAGTGCATCGGGGCGAGGAGGGATGGGGACACAGCAAACAAAATATAACGTTTACTTTGAAGTTGAAAGAGAGAGGCGGGTTGTGCGGGGCGGGTGTGCAGCAGCAGCAGATACAGTCCACGGATCGGATGGATCTTACTGGCCAAAAAGCAAGCCGACATGAACTCCTGAGGTATGATCACGGTGTCAGGGAGGAGGTCGAATGTACTGCATCACACGCTGAATGAAGCTATTCTGTCCACATGTTTTTTCTCAGGACATAAAAAAATCTCGGCCAGGACGTATTCCGTGAGTGAGTGCATTGTGTACACAGAACAGTTAGTTTCTGTCACACCCCGGCAATTCCGGTGAAAGCGAATGAATGGGTGGGCGGCGCGAGGAAGCAAACGAGCTCCTGCGTGAACCGCTATTGCGTTCACGATAGTTCTATTGGTGTATAAACTGCAGTGATTATTGAACTAAGAAACATGCAACACTCACCAGACAGACTGACTGGTAGTCATGGACAAGGAGCCTCGTCACACTTGCTGCTGGCGGGCGGAGATAAAACCCAGAATATTTGGGGGATCCAGGGGTACATATATATATATATATATATATGCTGCTGTAGGCTGTCTATCTACAAAAGACCAGACTACAATATAGTTCTCTTTTTGTTTTTACCACATAGATAGACTAATTATTAGACTAATCACCCCCGTTATTGGTGTTACCGTTGGGCGAGCGACCGCCACTCGATCTGTTGACGGTCCTGGAAGAGGGGCGCGAGGTGAGACGAACGACCTCGAAGAACTGCCCGCGTGGGTGGCATCACCCCAGAAGAACGTGGCATCATCGCCGTCGAAGATTATCATGTTTTTCTGTCACGTTGAAACAAATAAAAGCTGTTCCGTTTGATGCAGACGGAAAGCAGAGGGCGAAGAAGATGGGGCGAAGGACTGAACGTCATGCGATGATCTTGCGCTACACGACATTCTTGTGGGCGTATTGATTGGTGAAGCCCCCGGAGGATTTGTGGAGCCGCCTAATCGAAGCTCACGAAAGACTAGAAGTGATAGACGAGCGAGCCTCGTCATCATACCCGCTGTAGTTGGGCGGAACCCAGTTTCGGGTGATCTATCGTTACATCTTTTACGAATGCAACCACACAGAGCAGTTATGCGAGCAGAGAGGGATCTATATGTAAGCTCAACGAGGGTATGACTCAACGAGCACGGCAAGGGGACCAAGCCCAGACACGAGGAATGCTCTCTTCATATGGACGTGACTACACCTTTTCCACGAGACCATCGAAGGCGAGACAGAGATATGGGGTACACGGCACTGGGTATCTATCTGCCAAGATCCACCGCATCCCACACACGACTTTACAAAGTAGGAGTAGGGATGGTCACGATCATGATACGCTTACAGCAGTACCTTCTGTGAACCTGGTCCCGACTCAAACTCGATTTCTTGGCGCCCCACCTTGTTGTCCTGATGTTGCTGTCTTGGAGAGCGTGGTGGTAGCTTTAGAAGGCCTGGAGAGAGACAAGTGGGGTTGAGATGTTTGTGAGAGGGAGGGCGGTGAGCGATACGTGTGTGGTGCCCACCTTTTTTTCCGTCCCCTCCCCCGAGGCTCGCGAGACAAAAATGGAAACCTGCAAAGATTCAAAATTCAAATTCAAATAAGTTCAAATTTCAAAGTCCAAAATCGCAGACCTCCACGCTTACTCGGTGTGCGCTGTGCCTCCTCTCTGAAGCTGGCACTACTGACTGCGCTGTGTTTCCCGCCGCAGGAGAGAGTATTAGCAACGCGACGGGGTGGAACCTCCCACACGGGAGTCTCACACGTGTCGATTACCCTATGAAGAGCCTTCTTTCATTTTTTTTGCTCAGGTACAAAGAACACAATAGGCATCACCCAACTCTCCCACAGAGAAGAGTTTGTTTTTTCGTGGATTTGTCGGAAATCTAGATCTAATCGAGACAAAATGAGAACCAACTTTGCTTGTGGGGGCTGTGGACCCACAGCGCATCGATTTGGTGGGCGCCTGTAAGCGTAATGAAGCAAAGAGTAGGCGTGTTGAGAACAATACTTCCCAACAAGCGAGGTGGTTCCACTCCAAAGCAGTAGGCTCAATAGCAGCAGCAGCAGCAGTAGCAGCAGTAGCAGCAACAACATAGATGGGCTGCGATCTGCTGTCCCCCTTGACTTATGGCCAACGGCACACAACACCTGTTATTGCCGCTTGCGGTTGCTCCTTTGAATAGCATGTTCTCTTTCTTGTTTTTTTGTGCCTTTTCCTCCGTGCCCTTTGGCTTCCTTTGTTGCTTGTTCCATCTATAGACGTTTGGCCCCGAGCAACGCGTGGCAACAAAAAAAAGGCAGTACACGCGATGCAGGACGTTACTCCTGGTGCCGGGGAGGTTCCATCGGCCAAGACCGGGCACGTATACACTAATCACCAACCACAACAAAAGAGCAACAGAGCGCACGTACTCCGTCTTCGACTCATCTCTTTTTGACTGGCGCGCGGGGGGGGGGGGGGGGGGGGGACTTAAAAACCCCCGCCAAAATTTTCCCCCCCCCCCCACCAAAAAAATTAAAAAAAACAACCCCCCCCCCCCCCCCC